GATGATGCCTTCAGTGTTCCCTTTTTTATTTTTCCCCATGGAAAGTGTGCAGGGCACGGCCAGGAGTGATGGCTTGGGCTCCTTGGACTGCCCTGCTGGAGCCGCAGGCCAGCTGGGACATGGGCCGGGATGCCAAGGAAGCTCTTCTCCCTCATCTCCCTGTTTCCTCCTTGGCATTTCCAACCCTTTTCTGCTCACCTTACTCTTTTCAGGTTTTGTGCTTGCCCGAAATAGCTGCAGCAACACAACCCACTCCCTCGGATTGCTGTCGCGGCCTCGCAGTCACCACTTTGTGTTGCCTTTTCCCAGTTTCAGGCAGTCGCCTGGATAACAGGATTATTTATCATGCTCTCCCTCCCCTGGCAGGATGACTTGCTGTTTATGGAAAGCGCTGGAGTGCAGGGGAGCTCGGGCTGCGGTTAAACAGACACCACTTAAAGGGCCATTCCCTGTGGCCCGACTCTACATGAGACTTTTTTGGAGAAAAAAAAGGCAACACAAAGCAAAACAATCCTTCACCTTCCTCTTATCTGGGTTTCTGGGACAAAAAGGGCCAGAAATTCAATTAGGAAATGTCGCAGCAGCTGCCAAGGATGGCAGACCGCAGCAAATTAGCCACCCTGCTGCATTGGTCCCTGCATCCCGTGGCGCCGGGATGTGCCTGTCGCCCTCCGGAGTTCCCAGCACGTGGGAGGGAACCTCACAGGATCAGCGTGCAGTGTTGCAGGAGCAACGAGGTTGCGTGAGTGCTGGAACATGAAGAGAGGTTGAGCTTCCAGGAGCAGAAATTCTTTGGAAGAAAACTGTGGTGCCCTGCGTGGAGGGAGCTTCCTGAGACAGGCTGCTCTCAGATGGGCCTTGACGGGCTTCTGAGTTGCAAACAGTGAGGAGTAATACCACAGTTTTATGGTGCTTCATGTGGCTGATAACAAGCCCACCACGTGTAGGGCCCTGCAGGCTGCAGACAGAGAGTGTTAATTTCATTTACAAAGTCTAATGGCCTCGTATACCTTAAATGGAGCCAGTACAGGTTTTCAGATGTGTGAATTAAGGATTACTGAGAAAACATGGCCCATTTTTAAGAGATGGATCCACCAGACAGGAGGTGTCCCTTTCCCAGCAGAGAAACCATCTCCCGAAAGGTCCTTCCTTGCAGTTATGGAGTCACATGGGCCAAACAGGCCATAGTTACCTCATGTGTTCCCTTCCCGGGCATCATGAAGCTTCACGGAGCTTTTCAGATCACTCTGTTTCACCGAAACCCTGCGGTAAATTCTGCATCTTATGATGATTAGAAAATGATCAACCACGAGAGCAGCTGGAGAGCGGCACCGAGGAGAGTTTCAAAGAAAACAGAGCTCCTCCAGGAGGATGGAGCCGGTGGAGGGATCCAAAAGGAAGAGCTGGAAAAGGAGGAAATCGTCCTTGTAGGTGTAACAGCTGGAATAACAACTACCCTGCTTGTTTTCCTTGCGCCTTGTTGCTCTTTGTGGGCCAAGTCTTGGGGAAGAGCCTGGTTTTCCTGCCCGAAGAGTGTCGGCGCTTGGAACGCGGCCGGTGCTCCGCTCACACCTGGAGCATCTGGGACGTCCCTGTGCCCCTTTCCCAAGGCAGCTGCCAGTTGCTTGCAGAAGCCACCTGTGTATGAGGGGCATTCGTTTCATTCTGAGCCTGCATGAGCGGCTTCAACACATGCCCCCTGTGCCAAGGGCTGTGCAAAGCCTCCCCCTTGGCCCCCTGCAACGTTCTCTTACAACTCCTAGCATTTGAGGGGCTTGCAACACCTTTAAATTAGACAAGTCTTAAATGCATTTTATATATGTAAAAAAAAAAAGCAAAACATAATTTTCTGATGCTCTGCTATTTGTACTGATTTTCTTTGAAACCTCTAAATACCACCCTGTCACTCTTTTGACATGTGTGGTTGCGGGCCTTGCATAGAATATGATATTTCAAGTATGGTACATGCAGGTCTCAGTTGAGCTGCAGGCTGTAGGAAGGTGCCGTGCAGAAGCAAAGGGCTTTTATTTCTCCCATACAGTGTTTTTTCATGCCGGTATATCTTTGAATCCTTTAAAAACTCTCACAGCTTCGAGCAAGGGCATTTTTACATCATACGACACCCCAAGGAGACAATTTGTTTCCTAAGCAGAGAGACAACTGAAGTATAACGCAATTTGCAGAATTTGTGTGAATTTTACTCACGTTCTCTGGTCTTTGGTCTCTTTGGGGATCTTACATATTTTTCATTATTATCAAATATTTGCAATGATCCATATAAACAGTCTAATGTTAAAAGCTGCTCCAAGTGTAACTCGACCCAGAGGAAAGATGCTTATCTGAGCTCAACAATGACAGATCTAACAAAGATGCTGAGGCAGTGTGTTTCTCATAAAATTGAGGGAAATGCAAGAAAAAAATCAAAATTGCAACGACTCCTTAACAATAGCTGCAGTAGAAGTGATCTCCACATTTAACAGGGGGATATCACTTGGAAGAGCTCCCCACACATGCCCAGCAGTGCTGGTGCCAGATCCACATTAGCCAGTGAACGGAGAAACAAGACGTAAATGCTCGGCGAGACCGGTACTGTCAGAATCTATTTCACTGTTTGGTAATTATTATTTTTATTACTATGACAACCCAGACCATTGGAGTTGTTGCTTTAACCCCAGCAAATGATAAGTGCAGATCAGACATTTTCGAACTGAAGTCATCACTTTTTGCCTCCGTGATGTAAACCCCAAGTAAAGAAAGTGATGGCAACTCCCGAAACACTCTGGTCCCTCACTGGCCTCGCAGGTCTGCTGCAAAGGGGCACTCCAGCCTTTTTCCTTTTTTTTTTTTTTTTTTTTTTTT